GATAAAACTGTACATCGCATTAGAGTGAAGAAGTATATTCTGTTAAAGAATACTTTCTCTCGTCATATAAAACTTCAACCGCGTCAGTTGTTCGGAAATTGAATGATCCAAGACATGATCTAACTGGAGAAAAATGCCAATACCACCGCACGATCGTACGCTTCATCGTATTAAAAATATGATGCATCGCAATTGTGGCGAGCATGAACGTTTTGCAACTCGAGTCCCGTCGAGATCGTGTCCGTCAAGAAAACAATGCAATTAACCGCCCTTTGCAAGCGTCTTTAGATTAAATTGTAATTGTTTGGTACTTCAAATGAAGTGCAAATGTTCATTAAATTTCCTAACTGAGATTATTTGTGTACAGAAGATTGTTTGTATCAAGTCACACTTAATCGAAAGTATTAAAAATGCCATGTAAGAAACATAGATAAGCAATCAGATAAATTTATTATTTGCTTATGTGCGACCTCCTAAACTCTTAAGGGAATTAAAAAAGATGCTCTGTTTTTATAACTCTTCACTCTATGCCGGTCGCAAAATTCACACAAGTCCTCGTTTGCCTGCATATCAAGGGAACATTTTACCTGATATGAAAATACGGTAGCGTGCAATGAAAGAAATTGCCTCCAGCAAACACAAATAATTAGTCGTCCAGCAAGGTTATATTAGCAGTATGTAAGGTCAACTGCGGGATTTTTGCGTTCTTAACTAAATTCTCGCCGCCGAAGATGGATGCCGGAACGCTGTCATGTACATAAGCTCAGCGTGCATGCCGCTCACTCGGGAATCGTATCGCGGGTATAAAGCTTATTGCATTTACCTTACAAGAGAAGGTACGGTCGGTGCTCATGTCCTTGGTCAGCTCGCCCTGAGAATGATGAGTGCAGAAGACCTTCTTCTTCCTGCCTTTAGCTTGACCTGCTCCAACAGAACTTCTTCAGGTCACCTCTGTCTCTCATGTGATAGTTTCTAGTGTCACTTAAGCTTGTGTCACATGACAAGGTCAGCAGAGAAGAAAAGAAACGAATGAGAGGTGCAACAAATTGCCGGAGCTTGATAGTAATTCCTGACATTTTTTATAGTTTATTTGTAACCAAATGAGATAGGAAGCGAACCCAGCGCGAACATTATTAAGGAAGTAATCTGCTCAACCCGCATGTTTAATCGTTGGGTTGGATGATTTAGAATTCATTCATCTTAAATTATGTACATATTTCTTAACATGGGAATTTTTATATGTAATCTACATTAAAATAACCAGGACAATTACGGAATATCATAATATCTTACTTATTAGTAGAGAAAGATTCATTTCGTTCTGCCCAAATTTAACAGCAATCAACATGATATGTTGAGGTTATGACAAATAGTTTAAGCAATATTTTGACTTAAGAGATCACGGTTTATTCTTCCTTAAAAATGGATCTTCCGTCTACATGCACAAATGCTGTCTGTCTCAACGCACCGTCAAAAGATCCTTCCCGAGCAGCACGTTCCGTCATTCTGTCCAGCCATAAAAACATGCGTCATGGGCAGCCTTCAACGAGTGTACACGTTCAGTGCAGCTCTGCGGCATTGAGCTTAGAGCTAGAAATCTTTGGCGTCTTATACTGGCAAGTCTTTAATATCATAAGCGGCCGGCGTCCATGCGGCTATAATCTGCAATGAAAGTGTCATGCGACGCCGTCACTCCTCCAGCTTTGGTACACTTTGAACGCTCAAGGCCTTTCCTGTGGAATAAAATTGTTCTCTTAATTGGCTCTGAAAAAATTTTTGATCTGCTCCAGTCAGCTGCCATGACACACTGCTTTGGCGCATCTCACGGTGCAGGCTGCTCGTGTCAGTCTTATATTATAATGGAGCATTAAGTAGGAGCATCTCACGGTGCAGGCTGCTCGTGTCTGCTGTAATAGCGCGTTAAGTAGGTGCATCTAATTAACGGTGCAGAAGTAAAGGAGTTTTTGCCTTTAAGTTGGAGCAAGCACGCTTAGCTGCCATGAGAAGAACAGTTCCCTACAACTGCGCTTCTGCATAAAAGTTAATCTGAAAGGTTTACAGAACTGATGACAATTGCTGCGATTGATGCGAGTCATATTGACGTGAGTAACATTTTATAATGTCACATTTTAATGTGCTTTATAATAACTCACGATTGAACACTTTCGTTCAAAATCCCCTGAAATATATCAATTAATTTCAAATTCTTGAACACAGGTGATTGTATAGAGCTTTCCAGAAGTGCTCCCGCTGGTATGCGAACATCACGCACCGTACGTTACTTCTTGCATGGCACGAATTACATCGCTTATATTCGCGTCCAAACTCTATACCCGCCCTCACAATCTCACAGTCACCCTCACAATCTCGCAGTCGGCCTCACAATCTCACAGTCACCCTCACAATCTCACAGTCGCCCTCGCGATCGCTCAGTCGCCCTCACAATCGCACAGTCGCCCTCACAATTTCACAGTCGCCCTCACAATCTCACAGTCGCCCTCAAGGTCTCACAGTTGCCCTCACAATCTTACAGTCGCCCCCAAGATCTCACAGTCGCCCTCACAATCTCACAGTCGCCCTCACAATCTCACAGTCGCCCTCACAATCTCACAGTCGCCCTCACGATCTCACAGTCGCCCTCACGATCTCACAGTCGCCCTCACAATCTCACAGTCGCCCTCACGATCTCACAGTCGCCCTCACAATCTCACAGTCGACCTTCCAGTCAGGCATTAGTATGCAAGCTAAGGATCAGCTCCGATTTCGCTCGCCTTGTCGTAAGCAGGATCGATCCGTCATCAGCTTTCTTAGAGTGATCAGCTGCTATAAATAAATTTGAGTTAAAATGAAGCTCATAAGTGGGAACAATATATTATTTCATATCGAAAATTCGCTGGAATATTTTCCAACAATGTTCGAAAAACTCAAGTTTCCACAAATTAAAAAAGTAATTATCTATTATAGAAGCATAATTTATTTACCAATAAATGTTCAAATTACGGGAATATTGGCCCACATTAGACTGATTGGAATCCTTCAGACATCTATAAGCCACTTGTGATTTTTAATTAGGTAGTCCTTGACCCAAACTCGTCAGGTTTAAACCCCGGCCCGTCAGGATTATACTCAGCGTTCATCACATCGCATTCACTCGTTATTATTCTTCGTTCACGAATCATTCACTTTCTATAGTTTTCAAGTTATCAAATTTTAGATTATCACAACTGAAGAACCTTGATTTTATTTTGTCCATCACATAATTGAGGTTCTTGTGCACCAATTCTATTACTTCAGATTTTGTGCCTATTGCTTTCTAATTCTATAAATTCTTCTCAGCAGAGATATGTCTTTCGAGTGTCGAACATGACACTTCAGCGGTGAACAATTCCAGCAATCCAATTGACCATTTGGTTGGTCTCATATTAAGTTCAGTGTTGGCATTGGCACGCCTCCGACAAATGCCTGTTATTCCCACATTAACATTGGCTCATCACACGGCCTGGATTGAGCTTCTTCTTAAGTGGCCGATTTTAATTTCATGCGTGGGAATCAGTGAGGACCAAAGCACATTCTTAATCCTGGTAATGTTTGCAATTCAATTTTCACACGTGGATTCTGAGCCTTGTTTACTGTAAAACTCGAGCCGTTCATTTCTAATCTATTATATAGGTTTTTAAATGTGTGTATTAGTTGCTATATTAACCGCCCTTCGTTGCTGCTAAACTATATAATTAATTTAGAAGCATGGGAGCCGAAGTATGCTGCTTTTTGCATTTGATCTTCGTTTTCCAATCAGAAGCCTGGGAGTGTGTACCTCTCCAGCTAATTAAAATCCATTTGCCAACGTTGCAGTTTCCCTTGGCCTCGGGAGGCCTATTGTTTAGCTCACACTTGGAATGAATTTGTCACATGTTTCAGTGTCAAGGGTATGATTGGCCTTGAGAAATCGCTTACAGGCATGACTGACTCTCAGAAAAAATGATATATATATATGATATATTTGAAAAATTACTAGTTAATCGTGAAGGAGGCTCTTAGAAGTCATATCTCATTCAGGTTTATTTCATTTAAATTTTGAAATACTTTTGAAGAAACGTGTCTGAATTCCAATATTTTGATGACCTTAAATTTCCACATAAAATTTGCTGTCGAGTCATCCTTTCAGGGACAAGAAAATCTAGCACTTTCTGACCGTCAGCTTAATACTTTTTTCAGGAAAACTTCAATCGTAATCGCGCTGTTGATAGAAGCGATTGTGATATTACCATTTTAAACGTTAGACGATGAACGTTACGGACTCGCCACTGTTTCTCAAGTTGAATCTTTGACTTGCAGTAATTCAAAAGGAATATAGAAAATTTAAATACTTCATTACACATTCTAGCTATGAAAGTTTCTGATTCTTTAGATCGCATTTGCTGAAAAACATGTAATTGGAACAATAATTGTTTCAACCGTGCTTGAATAAGCTTCTGAAATTAATTAAATGTTTTTGAAAATGAATCAACTCAATGTGAATTTTTTCGTCATTTTCCTATAGATGAAGCGAATTATTGCTCATCCATCGTGATTTGAGTTGTTCTCAAATAAATTTCTCCTCACATTCATCGCTAATTTCTTGACCCAATTTTTCTCTATATGTAGCTATCAATTAATATCTAACAACAATAACGCATTGCATTAAATTCATCAACAAGCTCGTGCATGGATTTGTTTTTTTTAGATGAAGTCCCAATCAAATGTTTGTATGAAATATGAAATTGATAAGAAATTCTACGCAGCTCTTCCTGCAGAAAACCAATTCATATTAATACCACGACTGACCTTACGAATGCGTAAGTATTTGAATATTCCTGATGGTAACGAGTGCGTAAAGAGCGTGACCTGAGCTAACGTCTGTCCTGTGGAACAACTGAGAGGTCACCGTGCAGGGCATCTCTGGTCTTGTGAACCTGAGGATCCTATAAAAGGCCGGCCTCGACGAGGGTTCCTCACTTCCCTCGCCATCCCCGTGCCGTCCACACCTCACTGTTCCACTCTCTACCCTTGTCATCATGTCAGCCAAGGTAAATTTGACTCACAAATTAGCTTGCAAACTTCATGTTCTGTACCGCAATGTAATACTTTATTCGGTTCACTTATGAATTCTAGCTCATATAACAGTCGAGAATATATTTCAGTTTCTTTACTGCATGGAATTAAAAAGATTCTATTTACTAATAAATATCTCGAAAAAAATTCGGTAAAAGTACCGAAATATATTATTTCGGTACTTTTTTTTAATAATATTTTATTATAAATATATTATTATATTTACCTCGCATATCGTCAACATTGTTCTAAAATTAACAATAACAAGCATTTTTATATGTTCAAAGTTACCACATACACATAGTCTCATCTATAAAGAGAAAGTACGCACAATTCAACAGTTTGCCCACTTGAGACGCTTGTTCTCGGGGGGCAGTTTGGCAGCCAATACTAACGGCCAATTATAAACTGCAATTCATTTTACTGGCCGATATGCTCAACATGAAGCCGTATTACTACCAGTATTTTTTTGAGTGTTTGCCGACAGTTCGTCTTGAGAGGCCGCATACAGAATGTCTCGGTGATAATTATTATTCTTATAATTATTATTCATTCCCAGTTTCACGATTAACTTATGGAAATAAGCTAACCAATTCCTTCAAAAACAACTAAAAATTTGACTTAAAAAGCATTTTTTAAAACTCTGTAATTATCAATTTATAATATATCTCTAATATAATTTAGAGAGAAAACATCTATACATGCATGGCCGCCTATAATCAATTTTATGCCAAGAAATGAATAGGCGATGAAATGATTCAGATTTTACTGTATTTTAAAATTTTCACAAAAGTAGGTTGAAACAAGTGATACATGAATCTTAGCACTATTCACTCTCAGCCAATCATGAAGGTGGCCGTAAAATTGTCTTGGGACAATTTAATGGCCGATAACCGGCCACTCTTATGGAAAATCTTTGATTTTAGTTTTCACTATTCATTTCACCACTCGAGGCCACTAGCCCAATAATTTGAAGCAGTTGATATTAACCAGTCATAGAGGCTGCCACTGCAGGCCACGGGAATAACGTACATTTACACACGACGTCCAATTTCAAAGGTGTACACATTTCGAGAAACGCGAATTTTGTAGAATTATGATGGAAGATATGAAGGTATTAGTATTTTGTTCATGTTCAAATTTTCAATTGACCCTTCGTCTTTTTAGCGCATATTCTCATTTATGAAAAAATGTGCTATTGTGCTCGCCATGTCCGTCTGTCTGTCTGTCCGTCCGTGACTTCACGTTTTCGCCGACGAGAAAATGCGCTCTCTGTCACTCAGCAGTGAGTACTGAGTTATATTTTTGAGACAATATGGCCCATTCACTTTTCTGAGAGCAGACGTGATCAGGTGCGATTGATTCTGGTATCACCATCATATGCTGCGTCAACGAAACTTTCGAGTGATAATAGATAGTAGAATTTCATGTATCATTAGTAGAATTACATGCACAAAAAGTATTGGAAGACATTCATATTGAATCGTGTGGAACCATATATATCCCTCCACACCAACTATAATTGAAGCGTGTGTATGCCCGAGAAGTGAATACATGGACGAGAAAGTCGATCTTGAAATGACATCGTAACTACGGGCGAGTCCTGGCACTCCCGCGCCGAGATGTGCTAGGCCACGTCAACATCCGCGGCCTGCGCAGTTCGTCCTACTCACGGTGTATACTGTATAGTAATGCGTCGGTGGCTAAAACAGATAGCAAATAGAAAATTTAATTATAAATGAAATACGATACATCATGCGTTTTACAAACAAACATGAAGCCAGGGCATGATACCTGACTGATTGGTATACTGATCACGAGCAGACAGTTGAAAGGGTAGCTGCAGACCTAGAAGTTATTCCCTGACCGCACGTCAAGCTGACACAATATACATAATGAGACGACTAACGCTGAGTACGACGTGTCTTGCTCACAGTGTACTTATCAGGGTATTTTTAAAATTTTAACGTTTTTTCATAATGAATTCAGCATTGACTTTCACCAAATTATATTTAGCAAACAATCTCAATCATTACCATTCTTAGCGAGCGAATAAATTTTAACCTAAATTCATAAATCATAAATTTTAGTCTTTTTCACTTTATTATCGATGAAGCAGCGTTGAGATTGACCTATTTTCATTTGAGTATCTCAGTTAATTAATCTTACGCCACGTCCATTTCAGGTCCTTATTTTAGCGTGTGTGGTGGCAGTGGCTGTATGCTTGCCCCAGGGCTACAACTACAACGCTCCAGCCCCACCTCCTCCCCAGCCTGCCCCATCCAACCTGTACCAGACCCCTCAGAGTCCACCACGACCTGCTCCTGCACCTGCTCCTCCTCGACCTGCTCCCCCTCGACCTGCCCCAGCTCCTGCACCTGCCAGACCTTCTGCAGGTTACGGCCAACCTGCTGCCTCCAACCTCAGCCCAAGTCAGAGCAGCCCTCCGGTCAGTTGCCGCTGGCCTGCGTTCCAGTATTTTTTACTATTTATTAGCTATTCGCCTGTGCATGTTTTTGTTGATCAAATTAGTTGTCTAATCGTGTCAGTTTCTTTCATATTTAATTTTCTCGCTATAGTTCTTGTTCTTTTAACATCTGTCTAACACAAGCAGGTCCAAGTGATTATATATTTTTTAGCAACTCTACCATTTTGATATTATAGACAGTATTTCTCCCAGCTAATAATTTATATTTAATTAGCTGCGCCTTTCCGCAACTCCTTGCTATTTAGCATTGCCGGTTTATTTACTTTGTTCTGGCATTTTAACTCACCTGTTTTTTGTAGTTATTGATACTGTAAATCCTTTTTCGTATTCCAGCTTTTTCCGGTGAAAATTTGCAGATTAAAAGGTTATCGAATTTTCCATATAATATACAATTTTTTTCATATAATTAGACACAAACCTGTGACGTATCATAAATCACATAAACATATCGTAAGTTCATTCCTAACTCACGGGTACATGACGCGGTATTTGTCCCGGCAGGCTGGTGGTGCTTTTTTCGTATAAATAGACAGAAACGCGTGACGTGTCGTATATCATATAAACATATCGTAAGTTCATCCCTCACTCACGGGTCCCTGACGCGGTACATGTCCCGGCAGGCTATTGGTGGTTTTTTCATATAAATAGACAGAAACGCGTGACGTGTCGTATATCATATAAACATATCATAAGTTCACCCCCCACTCACGGGTCCCTGACGAGGTACATGTCCCGGCAGGCTGGTGGTGGGGAAGGCATGCCGTACGACTTCCAGTGGGGCGTTGACGACGCAGAGTCCGGCAACTCGTACAGCCACGTCGAGAACAGCGACGGCAAGACCACGCAGGGCGAGTACCGCGTACTGCTCCCTGACGGCCGCACGCAGGTATACCAGCTGTCATCTCTTAATAGTGACGTTTACGTGCTGGAACTAACAATATACTTTAGATTATATTCAAAAGCTAGCAATAACCGTATAAGTGATATTTACGTGCTGGAACTAATAATATACTTCCAATGATATTCATATACTATCAACTGCCTCCTATTAACAGTGATATTTACGTGCTGAACCTAATAATATACTTTCAGTGATATTCTTGTGCTAGCAATAACCATATACTGTTAGTGATATTCACATGTTGTAACTAAAAATATACCCTCAATTATATTCATATATTATCAACTGCCACCTACTGACAATGATATTCACATTCATAACTAACAATACCGTATACCCTCAATTATATTTTTATGCTAGCAATAACCCATATATTGTCAGTACTGTCATTACGCTTAGACTCTTTATGATATTAAAATACTGTGACTAATCATATGTACTGTAAAAGAAATTACTCTCCTATCTCTAAGCGTATACATTCAATGAAATTCACACACTGTCACTAACCAAAAACTGACATCGAAATTATTTTTCTCCAAACTTTTACGAAGTCTCGATAATAATTTAAACGCGGTGATATACTTAACGTTGCTCGTAGGCGCTTATATTTCAATTATGTGTTTTAATGGGATGCTATGGTTGCAAATAAAATTTACATTATTATTTTACATCAGTAATGTAATTGGGGGTTTTAATGTCGTGATCTGGTTACAATCCAAAGTTTTGTTACAGGTCGTGAAATTCTTCGATAACGGAGGCGGCTTCAATGCTGAGGTCACCTACGAGTGAACGAACTAAGCGAGCGAAACGAAATCGAACAACGAACGGTCCTCCTTTCCCTTCCGCATACTTCTTTTATTTAATTCATTCAATTATATTGCCGATGAGGCAATGAATTTATATGAATAGTTTCTGTTCTCATTTTGTTCCATTCTGTGAAAAATTGAGTTATTTGACTAGAGAAAAGAATGGTTATCAAACGCTTGCTGCATAGTATTTGCCTTCACGTTTTAATTTTGGAACCTTATGAAGCCTTTGCTCCACGAACACGTCAACATGAGTTACGAAAGATTTCTGAAAACTGTTTTGCTGTATGCAAGAATTAACGCACTTACATATTTATGCTTTGTATGTATATTACATCATTTACAATATTGTAAGCGTGTTATTATTCATTTCATAAGATAAGATAATCTTTTAGCCTGAAAAAGATTTTCCGATGGTGCTCTTCATCGTTTTTTCTATACAGGGACAGAAAACTCCCAAATCTTGCAGTTATTCAGAGAAACTTTCCGGTAGCGAGACACAATATCCAAGATAATACAAAAAATTTAAGTCCTAATCATTAATTTCAATCAACAAATTATCAAAGCATCTATTAGGTAAATAATTTTATTATGTGCCAATAAACCTTAAATGTTGATTTATCTTCTTCAAGTTGATAAGGTAATAATCGTTGTTATAGGCGATTCCGTCACCGAAACCAATGAACTCGCACATGTTTTTTGAGTGACTAAATTACAATTTGGGTGAATCGAAATTTTTGATTTGAAGATTAGGGGGACGAATTTGTTTATCGTGTGTCAAAATATTAACACTGTCGATGGTCGATATGCAAATTTAATATAACCTAACCTAACTAACCTATTCTATTTCAGAAACGGCTGAACTGACAGTACTACCATTTGAACAGCATTTTTACCGTTTTAAAGTGAATTAATTTTTTCCGTTTGGTGGAATTTCCAGGTTGAATCTAAACATTTATTCATTTGAACAGCATTTGAGCAACCAACTGTTGTAGAATCATGAAAGTTATTACCGAAAATGCAATTTTGAAACGCCACATTGACATCTTAGCCATTAATGTACCTTTACGCGGTAATTAGGACGAGAATGAAATCCTCGAGTAAGGTGACATTCGGTGTTTGAATCATTCAATTTTTAACGTAAAATACATTCAGGAGACGGCGGCGAAAACTGCTAAAGTTGATGGGTTGAAAACGGCAGAAGTTAAAAATTATTAATAGTAATTTTATTCCATGAATGGCTGGACTGACACTCGTGAAATTTGAATTAACATTTTTGCCGTTTTAAAGTAAATAAATATCTAGATTTGTGTGAATTTTCAAATCGAACTAAAAAAGTAACTTATGTTAGTTATTTATTTTAGAAATGGCTGCTCTGAAACTCGTGAAATTCGAATACCATGTTTTCCATCGTAACAAAAATAAATTTCTTGATTTGTTGGAATTTTCATGTTGAATTAAAAAACAATTCATTTATATTCAATCTCAGAAACGACTGAACTGACACATGGGAAATTTGCACAGCATTTTTGCCGTTTTAAGGTGAATAAATTTTTAGGTTTGGGGGAATTTTCAAGGTATAATTTGAACAGCATTTGGACATACAACTGTTGATGAATCATGAAAGTTACTACCGAAAACGCAATTTTAAAACGCAAAAAGTAACTCCTATTAAAACTGTAAAACCTAATTTTTCGAACGGCCACTCAGACATTTGTGTCATTGATGTAGCCACTGCAAAAATATGAAATGAATGAAATCCTTCTGTTGTATTCTGCTGTATCGTTGTAGTTATCAATGGAAAACGCAAATTTTGAAATGGTTGAACTCACATCTATAAAATTCATGCAGTCACTTCACACTTGAAAAGCGAATGAAATCCTCGAGTAAAGTGATATACGGTGTTGAATCATTAAAGTTTTAATCTGAAAACGCAGGCAGGGAACGGCTTTAATTTATGAAAAAGTTATTCAAACCTATTTCATTACAGGAAAAGCCGAACTGACTCTCCTGAAATTTGCACTGCAATTTTGTAGATTTAAAATAAGAAATTAGAATTTCTAGATTTGGGAAAATTTTCGAGTCGACTAAAAAACTCGTTTTTAATAACTAAATTTCAGAAACGGCTGAATTAGCACTCGCAAAATTTGAACAGCATTATTCCTGTTTTACAGTGGATTATTTTCTAGGTTTATATAAAATTCATATAACCACTGCGTAGATTAAAGCGAATGATATCATCAAGTAACGCGATATTTCGTGTTGAATCATTCAAGTTTTTACCGGTTCACGCCTTTAGAACGGAAACAGCTGCAATTGAGTAATAAATTGTAAATTGAGTAATAGTAAATTACTAATTCGAATCACCGAATTCGGTGATTCGAATTTAAATTACGAATCACCGACATGTGGAACTGCCTCCCCGATGACATCGTTGGAGCTCCAGGTATGAACGCGTTCAAGAACAGACTAGATGAAGCTATGGAAAAATATATGTTCAGATTTGAAATTCCTAGCTCCTTATCGAACCCGGTGGAAGTCTAGTAGCTACTTCAAACTACCGTCAGTCATGAAAAGATCCGGTCAAATGACACGAGTTTAGATCTATGAACAAAGCACGAAAAGGAAAAGAATCGGCGACAGGCCACATCAGGCCTACATTTCAGCGCCGACATCATTATGTTATGTTATGTTAATTATATATCAGAAACGGCTGAAATGACAGTCGTGATATTAGAACAGCATTTTTAAAGTTTTAAAGTAAATAAATATGTAGGTTTGTTGTATTTTTCAAGTTGAATTTTTAAGGTTGTTTATGCTAATTCTATTACATATACGGCTAAACTGAACAGAATTTTTTAAAAGAGTATTTGCTGTTTTAAAGTGAAGAAATTTAAAGTTCAATCTAAAAGCTTATTCATTTGAACAGCATTTGAACATAAAACTGTTGTTGAATTTCAGAGGGCTATGTTTATAAATTCAATGCCTAATTGGTTATTACTGTACGTATAGAAAAATGATGCATTTTGATTCGATCATGTAGATTTGATAAATCGTTTTAGAGAGAACATTAACCTTACCGAGTACGGTCATACGGACCGGTCGTATTATGATATTGTACAAGAGTGATACAGGTTAGTCATTATTTTAAGCTGAATGACTGCAAATGCCTTGAGGCGTTAACTATTAAATTGTATTTAATACGGAAGACTTTCATTCTTTTAAACGGTTCATGCAAACCTGGTGGTCTATACCATCTTGAGATGTAAACTGCAAACGTGCTTTTGAATAAAATTGGTGCTGTTTTCCATCCACGTCGAATAATAATTTGGAATTTGAATTCAGTTTTTGTTATTATGGTTTCCTCCTCGACACTTTTAATAACTTTTTTGGAGAGTCTAAAAAAATAAAAAATATTTTAGTCGCCCTTGAATTTTCAGTTTTTAAGAAATCCGACAAAAAACGTTTTTGAAGGGCGGCTCGGTAATTTTTTTCGTTATCCTAAATTGAGTTGAATCGCATTCCACTTACAAACACAAATTTGTTCAATATTGTTCAATTTCCTGCAAATTGAATTTCAAGGATGCAGGAAATTTGTTCAATACCCTGCATCAATGGAAATTTACACAGAACATTATTGATGTTAATAGAAACAAATGAAAAAGTGAAACTTAACATGAAAAAAATAATTCTAACAAAACCCCAAAAGATTTTGATGTTTTGGAGCAATCATCTCAATTTCATAACATCAATTCAAGCATTTATTTTTTATCTTATTAATACGTATGTAACAACAAAGATTTGGTAAGAAACCCACGGATGTAAAATCTAACATTCCAATCTCCTCTGCAGCCGTAGGGAAGCAGTCACTGAATTCATTATTTGTCATATAACGTAACTGTTTATACATATTCATATTACTACGATTTAGAATTGAAAGGAGCAGCATCATTATAGAGGAATTATTCTAATTATACTTCGATCGAATTCCCCGTCCATAATAAATAAAATTGATGAATATCGCAAGCATGGAGAATATAAAATTGATTAGAATTGCTGAACGCTAACGTTTATCATCTTATTAATTAATTGACTAAAACTGCAAACAAAAAACGAAAGCATATGTAGAAAATTTCTATTTTTTTTGCATAACTCTGAAGTGTGGTAACAAATGTATAAGTAGGTAAGATTAACTAAAATGTAATGATGGTTCAATAGGTTTTAATTCGGAATTAATTCGATGTATACGAACTTCTTTTAAAATAAAATATTTGAACTACCATCAACCGATGAACTACGTACCACCAGTAAAACTTACGCAACTGAAACTAAGTAGAGAAAGACTGGCTTAATACTATTAGCATTTTATAAACCAATATTTTATTTAGAGTTATTTTCACTGATATTTATGAAGATTTTATTACAAAAGAGGCGCCTCCAAGAAACAGGTAGCCTTTCATCCGAAGCTTTCTTTTTAGATTTAAATATCGAGCATTTAATACCCAAAACAGAGAATATATTATTTTGTTTTCTCTCCGAAGATCAAAAATATTTTATTTGTACTCATTATCCCAGACGCATTTATTTAGATTCCTATTTTCGTATTAGGGCCATCGGGTGGTCGATGTGCCTTAACGTAGGGTTTTTAGGAATGTATTTACGAAGTAGCCAATATTCCTTGCTGGTTAAACCTCCAGGTCCAAGTGCTCGCCTGAGGTGGCCGATATTTTTATGCATTCACTCGAATTATGCTTTGTCGACAAATACATGGACTTGTCCTGTATAAAAGGTACAGGGATGATGTCCTCATTCTAAACGAGTCACGTGAGGGTGAACTCAACTCGCTCCTCGAGAGTCGAAATTCGATGCATGAATAAATAATTTCCTCAGGGCGAGTTGCTCTGGATCCAACCTCCAAAATGAAGGGGGGTCTTATTTAAGATTTTGAGATATATGGCCAAATCACTGCGTGTCTTGTAGTGGACAGGCGAGTTTATGTTTTTCCTTTTATTAGAAATCATAAATTATTTGTTTTAAAAGATAATTTTATTCATTTATAAAGCAATGGAACCATTTCGTTTTAACTCGTCAGGCTCTTATGAATTATTCATTTTTTTCCCATTAGTTTTTTTCATTTTTGGAAGTTTATTGCTAAATTTAGGTCTTCGTTTTACGAATTTATTCTTTCTAATCTTGATTTGATCAGGAATTCTTTGAGGTTCTTGTTTCTTTTATAAGAGATTGTCGGCGGGGAAGGGAAGATTGGATGGAGTTCATGGTCTTCTTTCACAAAGTGCCAATGTTTGTTTAGGGCCTTCCTTAGTTTTAGGTTCGATATTCCAGGGTTGTA